TACAGATAGAGTGGGAGGGAGAGAGAGGAAGGGAGAGAGAGAGAAACATCGATGTGAAGGGACACATCAAGTGGCTGCCACCCGCACGACCAACCAGGGCCGGGGACAAACTGCAACCGAAGTACGTGCCCTTAGCGGGAACCGAACCCGGGTCTCTCCGGACCGCAGGCCGACGCTCTAACCGCTGAGCCAAACTGGCCAGGGCCAAAGACTCCTTTTAAATCTTTTTTCTCATTATTGACATTCACCCCTCAGATTGCAGATTCCACCTTAAATGTCTCTTTACTCTGCTTTTCTTTTTTATCCCCATCACTGTGACCTTTGTAACTTAAACTCTCATCTTACACACAGACTACTGAGATGGTTTCCTTATGGTTTTCTTGTGTCACTGTTGCGTCCTCTGTATCTTCTCTTGAGCTGCCATTGGAGTGGATTGTCTGAAATCTGATAATTTTATTGCCATGCTTAAAATTCTCTAATTAATTTCCCCATTGCCCTTATTATTTTTTTAGTATAATGCACAAGCTTCCTCAGGGTTTGACTCTTTCACTGTCTCCAAATGCATTTGGCATTACTTTCTTATATTCCATGCTCTAGCCCTTCTGATTCATTTGAAGTTTGCTGTATGTGCTATTTTGATTCGTAAAACTACATGTGAACAAATTATTCCTACTGTCTGCAGTTCCTTTGTGTCCTTGTTTATCAAGCATTGTTCATTGACTAAATTTTTTTTTTTTTAATCCTCACCTAAGGATATCTTTTCCTTGATTTTTCTTAGAGAGGAAGGGAGAGAGGGGTGAGGTAGAGGAATGTGTCCAGACCAGGGATTGAACCCAAAACCTGGGTATCTGCCTTGACTGGGAATTGAAACTGCAATCTTTTTTTTTTTTAAATCCTCACCCGAGGACATTTTTTTCATTTTTTGTTCAGACAGAGTAGGAAGGAGAGAGAGAGAGAGAGAAACATCGACGTGAAAGGGACACCTCAAGTGGCTGCCTCCTGCACGACCCAACCAGGGCCGGGGACAAACCGCAACCGAGGTACATGCCCTTAGTGGGAACCGAACCCGGATCTCTGGAGCACAGGTCGATGCTCTAACCGCTGAACCAAACCGGCCAGGACTGAACCTGCAATCTTTTGGTGTATATTGACAGTGCTTTGATCAATGAGCCACCTGGCCAGGGTCATTGACTAAGGTTTTTATTCTAACTGTTAATCATTTTATTTACTATGAATGTAGAAATAGGTGATTTGGCTCCACTGATAGTAACTCTAAGGTACTGTTTTTTGTTTTTTTTTATCCTCACCAGAGGACATTTTTGCATTTATCTTCATATAGAACAGGAGGGAGAGAGGGAGAAAAAGAGAGAAACATCCATGCAAGAGAGACATATCGAGTGGTTGCCACCCACACGACCCCAACCGGGCCAAGGACAAACTGCAACCACGGTATGTATGTGCCCTTAGCGGGAACCGAACACGCCAGAGCACAGGTACTGGTTTTAAATATTTTTTAAGTAGCAAAAACCTGTTTTGGAAAGAAGTTTTACCCTATTACAGAAATGGGATGAAAATAATATTTTATTGGTATATTTTAAAAAATGTATCGAATTTATAACATTTTCAATAAAATCGCAGAAAACAAGGCCTTGTTGATGAACATTAACATTTGGAATGTGTTATTAAAGCCAATTGCAGACTTGTACTATCATCTCACTTTAATATCTAATTCAAAAAAATCAGCATTATGGAGATATAATTTATATGTATAGTAAACTGCATTATTTTGAAGTGTACAATTTGATGAGTTTTGACAGCTAGAGATACCCATGAAACCACAATCAAGATTCAGAGCATTGCCCTGGCCAGTGTGGTTTAGTTGGTTGGGTGTCATTCTGTGCACTGAAAGGTTGCTGGTTGGATTCACAGTCAGGGCACATGCCAGGGTTACAGGCTCCATCCTTGGTAGGTGGCGTGCAGGAGGCAGCCAATCGATGTTTCACTCACATCTGTGTTTCTCTCTTTCTTTTCTTCCTTCCTCTCTCTCTCTTAAAAAAAAAAGATTCAGCCCTGGCCGGTTTGGTTCAGCGATTAGAGCGTTGGCCCGCGGTCCTGAGAGACCCCGGTTCGGTTCCCGCTAAGGGCATGTGCCTCGGTTGCAGTTTGTCCCCGGCCCTGGCTGGTCGTGCGGGTGGCAACCACTCGATGTGTTCCTTTCACATCGATGTTTCTCTCTCTCTCTCCCTCCCACCCTACCTGAACAAAAAAAAAAATGGAAAAATGTCCTCGGTTGAGGATTAAAAAAAAAAAAAGATTCAGAACATTTGCATCTTATGTCTGTTTGTGTTCATCCTAAACCCTTAGTTGTAGATTAAGTGATCACTTTCTACTTTCTGTCACTATAGATTCGTTTGCATTTTCTAGAATTTTAAAAATGAAATATATTTTGGATATAACTATAATGTAAAGTGTACAATATATTAATTTGATACGTTTGATATATATATTTTTATCCTCGCCCGAGGACATTTTTCTATTTTTTGTTCAGACACAGTGGGAGGGAGAGAAAGGAAGAGAGAGAGAGAGAGAGAGAGAGAGAGAGAGAGAGACATCGCCATGAAAGGGACACATTGAGTGGCTGTCACCCACACAACCAAGCAGGGCTGGGGACAAACTGCAACCGAGGTACGTGCCCTTAGCGGGAACTGAACCCGGGTCTCTCTGGACCACAGGCCGACGCTCCTACTGCTGAACCAAACCAGTCAGGGCCGTTTGCACATTTTAATGTGATTGCCATTAGAGATAATTAACACTTCTCTCATGTTACATAATTATATTTTCTTTTTAGTAATTGGAATATTAAATTATAGTTTCTTAGCAAGTTTGATGATTATAATACAATATTTTGTTTATATTCACTATACTGTGCTTTAGATGTTTTGCAAGTTTTTACCCTTAAACATCTGTTTCATACCATACCCCTCATGCCCTGGTAACCACCATTTTACTCTGTTTTTATGACTTTGGTTTTTTAAGACTTCACATATAAGGAATATCATATAGGACTTGTCCTTTGCTGTCTTATTTATCTCCTAAGTATAATGTGGTCAAGGTCCTTCTGTGTTGTCACAATTGGCAGGATGTCCACATCTTCTTTATTTATTCATTTGTTGAACTGTGCACTTAGGTTGTTTCCATATCTTGGCTATTGTGAATAATGCTGCAAAAAATGTAGGAGTTTATATATCTCTTTGATATTCTGTTTTTATTTCCTTTGGGCATATACCTAGAAGTGGAATTGCTGGGTCACATGGTAGATCTCTTTTGAATATTTTGAGGAACCTTTATGTTTTCCATGGTGATTAAACCAATTTACATTTTCACCAGCAGTGTACAAGGGGTCCCTTTTCTCCACATTCTGTTAACACTTATCTCTTGTCTTCTTGATGATAGCCATTCTAACAGGTGAGAAGTGATATCTCATTTTTTTTTTTAATTTTTATTTTCTCTTGATTTTAGAGAGAGAGGAAGGAGAGGTAGTGAGAGATGGAAAACATTGATTGGCCTCCTCCTGCACGCCCAGCCCTGGGCATTGGGCTTACAGCCTGGGCATGTGCCCTGACTGGGAATTGAACCAGCGACCTTTTGGTGCATGAGTTGACACTCAGCCACCGAGCCACACTGGCCGGGTGATATCTCATATGGTTTTGATTTGCATTTCCCTGGTGATTAGTGACGTTGAGCATATTTTTAAAATTTATTTATTTTATTTTGTAAAATATGTTTTTATTGATTTTTTAGAGAGAGAGGAAGGGAGAGAAAGAGAGAAACATTGATGTGTGAGAGATACATCGATTGGCTGCCTGCTGTATGCTCCTTACTAGGGATTGAGCCTGCAACCTGGGCATGTGCCTTGACCAGGAGCGGAACTGGGACCTCTCAGTCTATCGCTCAATTCACCGAGCCATTCCAACCGGGCATTAATGGCATCTTTTAAAGAGCAAACATTTACTATTTGAAGTAGTTTTTTTAATCAATATGTACATTTTTATATTTTATCTAAGAAGTGTTTTCCTACACCAAGGTTGCAAAGATTTTCTCCTGTATTTTCTTCTAGAAGTTTTATAATTTTAACTTTTAGTTTATTTCTTATTTGATTTTGGTTGTATTCTATCAGGATGCTTTATATACATAGAGAAGACTAGTTTGTAGAAGGTAACATTAAAAAAGAAAAACATAGTCTTAAATGTCAGGGTAGCCTACCATAAAACATAGATAACAGGAAAGCCTTTATTTTGAGGTTTGCAGGAGAGTGAGTTAACCTGGCAGTATTGTTGTCATGTTGGTAATGTCCATCAAGCTGTTATTATGTTTCCAAAGTAGTTAAAATGACTTACAAATGCAATTATTTTTAGAATTTATGAAGCTCAATTGCAGCTTTTCAGATCTCAAATATGTCCTGAAAAAAGGCTTAAGAAAAATAAATTTGTTTTCTCAGCAGGATTTTCTTCTAAAAGTTTTTTTCAAAAGATTATAAGGTGATATAAAGATATGGTCAGTTGGTTTCTAGAAAACTTAAAAGTAGTTTTATTTTCATTATACTGTGTCATCAGTGAATTATTTTCTGTATCTAGTCAGGGGGGTGTGTGTTCTTAGAGTTGTGTGCTTGATGAAAGTACCTCCTTATTTAAAATGCTTGAACTCTTTTAGTTTTGAGAGAAGTCTTGAGATCCTAGAGACAATTTGTAACTAATAAATCAATATATTATAATAAATCAATATATAGTATGTACACATAAACTTCAAGCTGGTGCTATAAATTGGATTCTAAGCAACTAAAACTGACAAGTTACTAATAGTTATGAGAGAGCTGAGTTTTTAAAAATGTAGTTATTTAATAAAAAGATAGAAATATTTTGAAAGCAGATTGCAATTTTGAAGTAAAATGTGGCCTCTGAAGTGATTTATTAACTTTAAAACAGTGCTATTTTATTTTCTAGGTGTTCATTGTACCCATGGTTTCAATCGCACTGGTTTCCTCATATGTGCCTTTTTGGTGGAGAAAATGGACTGGAGGTATTTGTTTCTTGTTATTATGGAAGAAGACATATTTAGTAATTGATAAAAAAAATTTCATTGATTTTTAAAAAATTTTTAGTTTTAGCATTTTATATTGCCAAATTTTTGAAGCCATGATTAATATAATTTGAATTTGCTTTTCATTTTAGATTTGGTTAATTTTTAGAATACCTTTCATTCATTACCTGGTATTTTTGTACAAAGTAGCACTTTAGTTGAGTGTTGATGGATCCCATATACTATGTATTTTCTTTTCTAGATGCTTTTCTCTTATTAGAGACAAATTCTTCCAATATTTTGTATTCATATGCACCTTTTGAAGTTATTACTGTTGTTTTTTTCATTTTTAACAGTACCTTTTTAACTGTTTTTTTTTTTTAATCCTCACCTGAGGACATTTTTGCGTTTATCTTCAGATAGAGTGGGAGGGAGAGAGTGAGGAAGAGAGAGAGAAAATATTGATGTGAGAAAGACACATTTACTGGTCGCTGCCTATACAACCCCAACCGAGGCTGGGGACAAACTGCAACCAAGATACGTGCCCTTAGCGGGAACTGAACCCAGGTCTCTCTGGTCCATGGGCCAATGCTCTAACAACTGAGCGAAACTGGCCAGGGCAACAGTACCTTTTTATAACTGTTAAGTACTAGGAAAAACTTACAAAATGTACTAGCAAAACCTTACAAGATATACGGAAAAGGTACGTTGGGGACAGAGTTGCTCCATTTAAACCAATCAGCATGATTTTATTGACCACCGTTATTAGTGAAATACCTTTTTAGATCCTGAGACACTAGAACTTTAATTACTCAGAAATTCCTGAGAGAATGGGATATTTCTAACTGAATTTCCTCATTTACTGATTGAGGGTCATTATTTTGTTTACAAAGCCTTTCACACTAGGTCCTTCTCTGAATATAATCAGCTGAAGTATAAACATCTGATGTATATTTTATTTCCCTGTTCATGCATCCTCAGTGGTTCTCTTCTTTTTTTTTTTAAATCCTCACTTGAGGATATTTTTCTATGTATCTTGAGACAGAGTAGGAAGGAGAGAAAGGGAGAGAGAGAGAAATGTCCACGTGAGAGGGACACATCGACTGATTGTCTCCCACACGACCCTGACCGGGGCCTGGGAGGAACCGCAACCGAGGTACGTGTCCTTCTTTGGCTGGAATCAAACCTGCAACTCATTGGTCTGTGGGTTGACGCTCTAAATGCTGAGCCAAACCAGCCAGGGCCTCAGTGGTTCTCATCTGCATGCACGTCTGGCCTTTCAGATGTTCTATACCAGTGATTTTCAACATTTTTCATCCCATGGCCTACATAAACTACTAAAAATCTGTGCCACCTTAAAAATATTTTTCTTGCCAATCTGACCAAAAAAATTGGCATAATTTTGATTCATTCATACCGGACAGCTGTTGTGTTGGCTGTCCTCTTTTTTTAAACTTGATAATCTAAGGGAAAAGAGGTCATTAACCCTGACTAAATAGTCAGGTATTGTTATGTTTTAGAAATTCTTGCGGTATGCTGGTGGTAAATCACCGCTATACACAATAACCCCAGAGTCTTGTGTCAGATTCAGCTATGCTTAGGCTTTCTCTAATAACAGATGCTTGTATTGCCTGGGTTTGTTGAAAGTTCCTGAAAACTCAGCATGCTTTTTACTTTTATTGATTTTTTTTTTTTTTTTAATCCTCAACCGAGGACATTTTTCCATTTTTTGTTCAGATAGAGCAGGAGGGAGAGAGAGGAAGAGAGAGAGGGAGAAACATCGATGTGAAGGGACACATCGAGTGGCTGCCACCCGCACGACCAACCAGGGCCGGGTACAAACTGCAACCGAGGTACGTGCCCTTAGCGGGAACCGAACCCGGGTCTCTCTGTACCGCAGGCCGACGCTCCAACCGCTGAGCCAAACCGGCCAGGGCACTTTTATTGATATTTCTGTTCACATTTCGTTGACTGATGTTTTTCCTTAGAGTCAGACCTCAACCTTTTTTTAGAGAGAGGGGGAGAGAGAGAGAGAGAGAAACATCTATGTGAGAGAGAAACATTGACTGGTTGCCACTCACACAATACCAACCGGGGCCGAGGACAAACTGCAAATGAGGTACATGCCCTTAGCAGGAACCAAACCCAGGACTCTCTGGTCCGCAGGCTGACACTCTGACCTCTGAGCCAAACCGGCCAGGGCCAGACCTCAACCTTAAAACTTCACACTCTACCCGTGTCTCTTCTATACACTCATTGCAGTTTACTTATAGAGTAAGGAATTAGCAATGTACCTTATGTTAAAACTGTTTCAGAATGAATTTGTCTCTGGATAGATTGAATGCCTTAAGAGTGGGACTATGGTTTCTGTATTTTATAAATCTCTATATACTTCATATGGTGCCTTAAATATAATAAGTAAGTTGTGAGAAATCTGCATAAATAGAGAGTAGTGAGGACATTGCACGGTGTTTGTTTTCCATAGTATTGAAGCAGCAGTTGCCACTTTTGCTCAAGCGAGACCACCAGGAATTTATAAGGGTGATTATTTGAAAGAACTTTTTCGTCGCTATGGTGATATAGAGGAAACACCACCTCCACCTGTATTGCCAGATTGGTGTTTTGAGGATGATGAAGAGGAAGATGAGGATGAGGATGGAAAAAAGGAATCAGAACCTGGGTCAAGTGCCTCCTTTGGCAAAAGGAGAAAAGAACGGTTAAAACTGGTAATGTTTAAAACTGGTAATATTATAGTCTTTACCTTTTTCTTCAGCAGGTTTATGACAGTGGAGTATTGACTGTGTTTGTTTTACTAGATTTGTGAGATTATTTCCTTCTAGCTATTTCTGAAGACTCTTGATAGCGATGAGTCTGCCTTTTCTGCAAGACAAGTCTGTTATGTAAATTCATCCTGTTTGTTTCTTAGGTATACCAAAGAACTCTTAGATGTTAAATTAAGAATTTACTATTTCTTTGCAAAGTATTGTGAAATTCCAACTAAATATCTAGTGAAAAATTTCCTAATGCTTTACAAAATTGTCACATAATTACATAATTTTACATATAAATTTTGCTCCTTCCCATGTGTGTTATTTTTATATTTTCTGTCAAGTTGAACTGAGAAGATACTTCGATGGCCAACTCCCATTAATCTTCTAGAAATAAAAGGCCTAACTAAAAACATTGTATGTTATTTTTTTTCTGGGGCAGGGGTAGGAGAGATGTTGAGAAGAAAAGTACTGGTTGTACTTGTACATACACAAGTTATATGGTGTAGGCCAAAGGGGAAATTTAGGGATAGTGTGGACATAATTAAGTGTAATGAAGTCAGTAATTAAGGTGTGTGGGAATCATAGTTAGCAGTAAACACCACAACTCATTTATTAGTACCAGTGATTCACAGGTAAGGAAGAAAATGTCTTATTTTATTTAATTCATATAATTTAGTTATTTTGGGCTTTAAATAAAAGTCCCTTGTTTGAAAAACATTGTCTTACTATGTATTTACCCATTTCAAACTTTAAAACTCTAAGGCCACTTAAAAGTATAAATTGCTTTGAAGCACAGAAATACTTAAAAAAATTATTTTTCTTTATTGAGTTTAGAGAGAGAGGAAGGGAGAGGGAGAGAGAAATAGAAACATCGATTGGCCGCCTCCTGCATGCCCTCCACTGGGTATCTGGCCCACAACATGTGCATGTGCTGTGACCGGGAATCGAACCTGTGACCTCTTGGTGCATGGGTCGACACTGTACCACTAAGCCACATTGGCTGGGCCAGAAGTAATTTCAAAAATAGTTTATTATTCTTTTGGACTATTTATTCTTTCCTGGATTTAGATATATGAAATTACTGAATCACATACCTAGAAAAATAGGAATCACATTCTAAAGAACGTCTAAGAGTGAGACATAATATAACAATAATTACCCTCATGATACCATTTTTGTAAGGGATATTTTTTTTTAAGGGGCATAGTTTCTAAGGGGGATTATTTTTTAAGAAGAACATTATGAATATATGCTTAGTGTGTTTTTGAATTACAAAATAGTATTTGAAAGTGTAAAAGAGTTTAAAACAAAGAGTTACTATTTTGTAAAATGGGGTCAAGTTTGTAGTTTTCTTTTGCCAGCAGAATGGGTCTAAAAAAATGACATTTATTTTATAATACCAAATATCATTAAATCCCTAGTTGCAAATGAGCTCAAGCAACATCAAGAGAAAACTAGCCAAGATGACATATTCCTTTAGGGAAAATAAATTACAGTTAAAATAAAATCCTTGTCCTGGTTGGTTTTGCTTAGTGATTAGAGTGTCGGCCTGCGGACCAATGAGTCATGGGTTCGATCCCGGTCAAGGGCATGTACCTTAGTTGTGGTTCGTCCCCGGCCCCGCTCAGGGCTGTGCAGGAAGCAACCAGTCGATGTGTCCCTTTCACATCGATGTTTCTCTCTCTCTCTCTCTTCCCCTCCTTCTCTCCCTCCCACTGTATCTGAAGTTAAACAGAAAAATATCCTCGGGTGAGAATTAAAAAAATAAAAAAAATCCTTAACTTAGTGTCTCCTGTTTTGTTTTGTCATTTACTAAGAGGGGTATTTAAAAAATTCCACACTATGATTATGTATTACCTGTTTCTCCTTGTAGTTCTATTATTTTTGCTTTATATATTTTTGGGTGACATTGTTTGGTTTACACAAAATGTGTGAAAGATTATTTTATCCCTATAGTAGCTTAACTTAGCATTGTAAAATATCTGACTTAGTATGATTGCATAAGTGTTCTTTTGATAGTGTTTGTATGGAGTGTCTTTTTTCTACCCTTTTACTTACAACCTTTATTTGTTTTTCATTTAAGGTATGTCTCTCATAAGCATCGTTGGGTTTTATTTATCTGGCCAACAGTTTTTGTCTTATTGGAGTATTTAGTCCATGTACATTTATTTTACTGATTTCTTTATTTTAGATTTAAACTTGTCTTACTGTTTTTGTTTGTTTCATTTGTGGTATGTTTCTTTTTTAAAATTAAATTTATTGGGGTGACATTGGTGAATAGGATCATATAGGTTTCAGGTGTGGATTTCTATGTTATAAGATCTATATATTGCAGTGTGTGTCCACCACCCAAAATCAAATAATCTTCCGACACTGGTGTGTTCCTTTTTATTTTCCTTTCTTGCTTCCTTTATGTTTAAATTTTTTTTAATTCTATCATCCTAACCCATTTAATTTTTTTTAATCCTCACCTGAGGATATTTTTACATTTATCTTCAGACAGACTGGGAGGGAGAGAGAGAGAAACATTGATGTTAGAAAGACACATCGATTGATTGCCATCCGCATGACCCCAACTGAGGCCGGGGATGAACCGCAACTGAGGTACATGCCCTTGGCCGGAATCGAACCTGGAACTCTTTGGTCTGCAGGCTGACGCTCTAACCGCTGAGCCAAACCGGCCAGGGCCTAACCCATTTCTTTTGAAGTTATACATTTCTTTACTATATTTTTAGAGGTTACCCAAGATTTCAGTATGCGTCTTTATGTTAAATGTTAAATTTTGAATATATTAGTACTTTTGCCACTTTTTAGATAATTCAGGAATCATAGGACCTTTGATTCCCTATACCTTTTCCTGCCTTTCTAGTATTGTGTATTTTAATTGTATAAAAATTAAAACCCCAAAAGATATCATCATCATCATTATTATTTTATATAGTTAATCTTCACTAGCTATACCCATGTATTTTTCCTTTCTGGTGGCCTTCATTCTTTCATGTACTTTAAAAAAAATATGTTTTCATTGATTTCAGAGAGAGGAAAGGAGAGGGAGAAAGGGAGGGAGGGAGAGAGGGAGGGAGGGAGGGAGGGAGGGAGAGAGAGAGAGAGAGAGAGATTTATGAGAGAGAGACATCAACATTAGTCAATGCCTCCTGCATCCCCCCTACTAGGGTCGAGCCCATAACCTGGACCTGTGCCCTGACTGGGAATTGAACCAGTGACCTCTTGGTTAATGGGCCTACACTCAATCACTGAGCCACATTGGCTGTACTTTTGTGGTTCCATTTGGATAATTTTCCTTCTGACTGAAGAGCTCTCTAGTATTTTCTTTAATGTGGGCCTGATGGGACACATTCTCTCAGTGTTTGTGTGAATGAAGATGCTGAACATTGAAATCTTGTAATATTTTCTTTTTTAAAAAATGTTTATAAACATGCACTTTAAAAAAAATCCTCACCTGCCTTGGCCGGTTTGGCTCAGCGGTTAGAGCGTCAGCCCGTGGACCAGAGAGTCCTGGGTTCGGTTTCTGCTAAGGGCACGCACCTTGGTTGCAGTTTGTCCCTAGCCTCGGTTGAGGTCGTGTGGGTGGCAACCTGTCAATGTGTCTCTCTCTTTTCCTCCTGCTTTATCTGAAGAGAAATGCTAAATAAATAAATAAATAAATAAATAAATAAATAAATAAATAAATAAATAAAAGGTGTCGTTGGGTGAGGTTAATAATAAAAAAATCCTCACTCAAGGATATGTTTTTCATTGATTTGACAGAGACAGGAAGGATGAAAGAGAGAAAGAGAAACATCAGTATGAGAGAGAAACATCTATCGGATGCCTCCAATATGTGTCCCAACTGGGGATGGAACCCGAACCTGGGTATGTGCCCTGACTGGGAATTGAACCCGCCTCCTTTTGGTGTATGGGATGATGCTCCAACCGAGTGACACCAAGCAGAGATAAGAAGATACACTTCTATATGAACATTATTGAAGTTATCTGTGTATCTCAGTGACTAAATATGGTAAAAAAAAATATATATATATATATGTGTGTGTGTGTGTGTATATATTCACCCGTTTTAGCTTTCCTTTAAAATACTTTCTTTTCTTTCTTTCCTTTTTGTCTTCCTCTCCCTTCCCTTTCCTTTTTTTCCTTTCTTCCAATCATTTGTTATTATATTTAATGGTAGAAATGGTTCTAAAACAGAAATGTCATTGACTGGTAAAGAGAGGTGATGGTGTAATAGAGAGGAATGGTACTCTGATTCTTCAGTCATGAAATCTCTGAGATACACTTATTTAAGAATAACAAAGTAGACATCATATATTAGATAACTATAATGTGATTCAGAATTAGGATCTGAACTGATTGATTGGATTCTATTCAGAACTGTTTTATATTTGACAGGGATGTATGCAGACTAAATATTGTGTTCTTTTTTTCCTTCCCAAGTGGCTCAAGTTGCCAAATCTTTGCCAAAAGATTGATCATTGCAGCTTATAGATCATGTTTTTTAATTTCCTAATTGCATTAACAGCTAGAGTTGTTTTATGGATTTTTCTTAAGACTGATGCCAGCCCTCTTATAGGTCTGAAAGTAATTGTAAGTAATTGTAACATGAATGTAGACTAATTTTTTTTTTTCCACATCTTTGTTGTTGGATGTAAAATGTATTACAGATGTTCCACATTTTTCCCCCATTGACCCCCTCCTCCCCACTCCCGCCCCCCTCCCACCTTTTCCCAAACTATTGTCCGTGTCCATTGGTTATGCATATAAGTTCTTTGGTTTATTTCTTCCCACCCCTCCAACCCCTTTCCCTTTGAGGTTTGTCAGTCTAGCAATAAATTTGTGCTTCTTAATCCCTTCACCTTTTTCATCCATTCCCCCAACCCCCTTCCCAACTGGCAACCAACAAAATGTTCTCTGTATCTATGAGAATGTTCCTGTTCTTCCTGTTCATTTTGTTTGTAGATTCCATTGTTGATAGATATGTATTCATTGCCATTTTGTTTGTTCATACATTTTATCTTTTTCTTTAAAAAGACCCTTCATCATTTCATATAATAACGGTTTGGTAGTGATGAACTCTAACTTTTTCTTGTCTGGGAAAGTTTTTATATGTCCATCGATTCTAAATGACAGCTTTGCAGGATAGAGTAATTTTGGTTGTAGGTTGTTGGTTTTCATCACTCTGAATATTTCTTGCCACTCCCTTCTGGCCTGCAAAGTTTCTTTTGAGAAATCAGCTGACAGCCTAATGGGAACTCCCTTGTAGGTAACTAGCTGCCTTTCTCTTGCTGCTTTTAAGATTCTCTCTTTGTCTTGAACCTTTTGCATTTTGGTGATGATGTGTCTTGGTGTGGGCCTCTTGGGGTTCATCTTGTTTGGGACTCTCTGTGCTTCCTGGACTTGTATGTCTGTTTCCTTCACCAAGTTAGGAAAGTTTTCTGCCATTATTATTTCAAACAGGTTTTCGATTTCTTGTTCTCTCTCTTCTCCTTCTGGCACCCCCAAGATGCGAATGTTGGCACGCTTGAAGTTGTCCCAGAGGCTCCTTACACTATCCTCATTTTTTTGGATTCTTTCTTCTTTTTGCTGTTCTGATTGGGCGTTTTTTGCTTCCTTATATTCTGAATCGATGGTTTGCTCCTTGGATTTACGTACCCTATTATTGAAGCTATGTAAATTATTCTTTATTTCAGTTAAAGCCTCCTTCGTTTCTAACTGTGCATTGATCATTTCTGACTGGTCCTTTTTTATGCTCTTGAGGCCCTCACTGAGTTCATTGAGCATCCTTATAAGCAGTATTTTGAACTCAGCATCTGTTAGGTTGCTTATCTCCATTTCGCTTAGTTCTTTTCTTGGGGTTTTGTTCTGTTCTTTCATTTGGGACCTGTTTCTTTGTCTCCTCATTTTGGCTGCCTCCCTGTGTTTGTTTCAGTGTATTACTTAATGAGAGGTATGGGGCTCGCTGAGACCCGATGCTGCTCGTTTGAAAGAATTTAGGAAAAACCTGAAGCAGGATCCAAGACAGGCCAATCCTATGGTTAAGCAAGTAGCAACAGCTTGGGTGGGCTTGAAAGTTGTGTGGGGCGGGGCGGGGCGGGGCGGGGCCTCAGGGAGTCAGCAGGGCGGGGCTACCAGTGTGAGCCAGGTTGCTGGAGTCCGAGATATGGCGACTGTCTGCTGCCCCAGGGAAGGGCTCACCAAAGGAACAAAGGCCTCTGACAGCATGTTTGTCCCCGAGAAAGCCCCCTCTCCAGCCCTCACTCCAGTGCTAAACAGCTCAGTTCTTCCCTGTATTTCTCTGGTGCCCCTTGAGCTGCCTCCCCTCTGAGCTTAGAGGGAGAGTCCCATAAGTCCCTGTGCCGGCCCTTTAGGGAGCTGCCTGGGGCTCCAGCCACCTCAGCTTCCCTGAGCCTCAGTTTCTGCTGGTTTTTCCAGCCAGAAGTTATGGGGACTTCTCTTCCTGGCACTGGAACCCTGAGCGGGGCACCTGGTGTGGGACGGGGACCCCTCAGTCCTCAGGAAGGACCTTCCCAGCCGCAGGAGCCTCCTGATTTTTATCCGCCACACTTGGGTGTGGGACGAGCCCGTCGTGCCGCGGCGCTGCCGCCACCCCTCACGCCGCCGCCCCTCCTACCGGTCTGGATGTAGCTGCTTTTTTTTTTTTAATTCCGTAGTTGTAGGACTTCCATTCAGCTTGATTTCAGGCGGTTTTGGATGATGGTTGTTCTGTAGTTTTGTTGTAACTTGGATGTGGTTGTGGAAGAACGCGATACTGCGTTTCCCTACGCTGCCATCTTGACCGGAAGTCTAGACTAATTTTTAGTCTTCGAAGTTTTCAGGAGTGTTCTTTATTTGATCTATAAATTTTCCATCTGCTCCACTTCTCTAAGATATTTAAAAAATATCCTTGCTCTGAAATACAGTAAGACACTTTATGTAGTTCTGAATGACAGAATTTAGAGTAAAAATTCAGTGATGAGTAATATTTAGTTTCTGTGTTGATACATCCAATGATTATAGCCTAGCCACTCTGTCTACTGTTATACTCTTATTCTAGTTTACAAAGTTGTATGTTGTGAGTATTTATCCCCTTCAAATCCATATTCAATAAATGATACCACTCCCTTACCTCTTCCCAAATAAGTCTGTGGTGAATGATATAGTATAGATAAGGGTTCAGAATTCTGTTTTTACCACTTTAATAAATTGCATGCAATCGTTATGTCTCATGCACTCGTGAAATAAATATAATAAAATTTACTTTTCAGAGTTATTATAAGGATTCGAGAAAATGTTTGTGAAATGTCAGATAATCTGAGCTCTGAGGAAATGGTAGATAAGTTATTATTGCTGTTATGATTTCTGACTAGTGCCTATGGAATGCTTTGACAGCATGATATAGACACTGGGTTATATATATGTACACTGAAAATCATGTGCTGGATTAAGGAAAACTAGTGTACAACCTCCAGGCAGTTTATAGAGTATCCTGGAGCAGACCATTTCTTTTTCATGTATTTGCTCAGATTTAAGAAAATAAATGAATCTGTTTCTTAGTCTAGTCTTTATAAATGCATTTGAACTCTATTAAAATATTTTTCTTTTATTTTAAGGGTGCTATTTTCTTGGAAGGTGTAACTGTTAAAGGTGTAACTCAAGTAACAACTCAACCGAAGTTAGGAGAAGTACAGCAGAAGTGTCATCAATTCTGTGGCTGGGAAGGGTAATACATATTTGAAATGTTTTAAATAAAATTTGTTCTTACTCTATAACACTTAACATGGGAGCAAACATTAATATACATTTTTTGTTTCTCGAAATTTGTATGTTTACATAGAGTGCTTAAAAAGATGTCAAGAGTTTATCAGATTTTTCTCAATACAAGCAGTGCAATAAGTACAGTTGAGTAAAACGTAGTTGACTCACGTGTCTTCCTAAAGGAATAGAAAATTATTGTTTTCACTCTAATATTTGTTTTGTGTGTTTGATTCTACTGTTGCAGATTAATGTTTGGGTTGCCCTTATTAAGAAAGAAAAGGTGGAAATTCAATGTGCCACATTTTTCAGTTTTTCTGTAATCAGAAACCTGTGAGAATCAGCTTTAAATATGTCCTGTCCCCTCCCAAGACTTGAAATTATTTATCAGCATTTCATGGGAGAGGGTTTAGGAGAGAGTTCACTGCTCTTTTCTCTTGCTCTCCGATCTTGGGCTATGATCATTTCTGTTGATCATTGCTAGCAGAGGTAGAAAATTGAAATACAGCTGGAACATGATGAAACAGGATTATCAACTTAAAAATTCCTAATATAAATAACTTTTTGACTGGGTACATACAGATCAATCACCTAGAAGTAATTTTAACAAAAGATGAAAATGATGATGAAGTAATATTGATTTTAATATTGTGTTAAACCCTTGCCAGTGTCCTTTAATCTTGATTTATATATTTCCTGTTTTGTAACTTCTGGGCATCTTTTGAGGAGAAACTTACCAACCCTGCACAGTTATGTCAAATCGGCAGTGTTGTGGTGGAGCAATATGGGGTCTAGAATAATGTAAGATAACTAAAGCAAGATTTAAACTTCTTCCTGATTTAAAAGACTTATAAACATACCTGCTTTACTATTTATTTATTTATTAAAACATTTTTTTTTCTTATTTTCTTTCTTTTTTTTTTTAGAGAGAAAGGAAGGGAGAGGGAGAGAGAGAAGGAAACATCGATGAGCGGGAACATTGATTGACCGCCTCCTGCATGCCCCACACTGGGGATTTGGCTCACAGCTTGGGCATGTGCCCTGACTGGGAATCAAACTGGCGACCTGTTGGTACATGGGTCGACGCTCAACTGCTGAGCCACACCGGCTGGGCCCTGCCTTACTATTTAGATCATGTATATTAATATTTAAAAATTAGCCCTGGCCGGTTTGGCTCAGCGGTTAGAGCGTTGGCCTGCGGTCCCGAGAGACACGGGTTCGGTTCCCGCTAAGGGCATGTACCTCGGTTGCAGTTTGTCCCCGGCTCTGGTCAGTTGTGTGGGTGGCAGCCACTCGATGTGTCCCTTCACGTCGATGTTTCTCTCTCTCTCTGTTCCTCTCTCCCCCTCCTACTCTACCTGAACAAAAAATGGAAAAATGTCCTCGAGTGAGGATAAAAAAAAAAAAAAAAAAAAGAGTAAATATTTAAAAATTAGCCCAGTAGGTATAGTAGTGGCAATTAGAAGCTTGATAACTTGTGTTCTAAAATGTCAAGAAAATAATAACCTTTTGTTAGCATTCTCGAAATCTAATATTATTCCAATTGACATTAATCTCATGATAGGGAGAACATTGTAATAAATGTGTGACTTGTGAGATTGGTTTCAGACATACATTGCTTCTTATGGATACCAGCCATAATAGTAATAAAATATTCTTCCTTAAGGTCTGGATTCCCTGGAGCCCAGCCTGTTTCCATGGATAAACAAAATATTAAACTTTTGGAGCAGAATCCATATAAAGTAAGCTGGAAAGCAGATGGGACTCGGTAAGTTCGACTTCTAAAAAAAGATATTTTTCCATTGATCCTTTGAGTGGAAGGGAGAGAGGGAGAAACATTGTTGTGACAGACACATCCATTGGTTGCCTTCTGCATGTCCCTGACCAGAATCAACTGGGTCCAGGATTGAACCTGCAACCTAGGTATGTGCCCTTGACTGGGAATTGAACCTGAGATCCTTTGGTCTGAGGGCCAACGCTCTAACCTCTCAGCCAAACTGGCCAGGGCTGTATTACTAATCTTGCTGACCCCTCTTGTAAGTTATAATAGTATGAATATAGAATTTTTTGAATTTGCTATGTAGAATGTATTATCTGAAAATATTTTCCTATTTTTATTCAGTCTTATAATTTGTGTGTGTGTGTGTGTGTGTGTGTGTGTGTTATGGAACTAGTTAAGACTTATAGAAAATGTGGAATTGTATTTTTTTTTTTTTTTTTTACCCTCACTTGAGGATATTTTTCCATTTTTTGTACAGATAGAGTGGGAGGGAGAGAGAGGAAGGGAGAGAGAGAGAGAAACATCGACGTGAAGGGACACATCGAGTGGCTGCCACCGCACGACCAACCAGGGCCGGGGACCAACTGCAACTGAAGTACGTGCCCTTAGCGGGAACGGAACCCGGGTCTCTCCAGACCGCAGGCCGACGCTTTAACCGCTGAGCCAAACTGGCTAGGGCGAATTGTATGTTTTATATGTTATTGGGTATTGTCATGTTTTTAACTTCAGTGGGAATGATTCTCAGTTTTAGTACTAAGTATGATATTTGCTGTAGATTTTAGTATATTAGACTTTATCTGGTTAAGAAAATTACTATCCCTGGTTTGCTAGAATTTTTATCATTATTGAATTTTATCATATGTATTTTTAGAATTTATATGAGTTTTCACTCTAACCTATCAATTCACTTAGTATAGTGAATTATACTGATTGATTTTCTGAAGTTGAACTATCTTTTCTTCAGTATGATGTTGGATTCAGTGTGATGTGTTTTGCATTTATGTTTATAAGTGAGATTAGTCTGCATTTTTTAAAATTTATTTTTTCCTTTATTAATTTTAGAGAGAGAGGAAGTGAGAGGGAGAGAGAGAGAAACATCGATTGGCCGCCTCCTGCATGCCCCCCACTGGGGATCGGGCTCACCACCTGGGCATGTGTCCTGACCGGGAATAGAACTGGTGACCACTTGGTGCATGTGTTGCTGCTCAACCATTGAGCCACACTGGCCAGACTAGTCTGTTTATCTTTGTATGGTTTTGACATGAAGATTATACTAGTGTCTTAAAAAAGATTAGAGATCTTTCCTTTTTGTTGTGTATCTAGATATGGAAAATCTGTTACTCTTATCAAGTTGTACAAGGATTAAATGAATTAAATAATTAAAAGCGATTAATATACTGCTTAACATACATTAGGCACTGTAAAATATAGCTACTGTTTATTTTTCTCTTCTCTCCTTTCAAGAATGGATTGCGCTCCCTGCTTGTAACAAAGATATTCAATGAGTCATTGAATAAGTGACTGAGTGAATGAATAAGTAAATTAGTGTGAGAGGGACTAATAAAGTAAGTGATTAAATGAAATAATACAATACTTAATCAAACAACATAAAGTGTAATGTATCTAGGGAATTACATATAGTTTGACTCTTGGGAGAATGCCAAGGGTAGAAACTAGAAAGATAGTCTATACTGGTCATAGTGGAGATACAGAAGAGAGACCATGGGTATAAATGCAATGTTAGGAGAAGTGTTTTAAGGAATTGGAATTGAACTGTCTTATTGCAGTATTCTGAGAAAAGATAATTAGGACTTTTTTTTTTAATCCTCACTCAAGGACATTTTTGCATTTATCTTCATATAGAGTGGGAGGGAGAGAGGAAGAAAGAGAGAGACAGAAACATCGATGTGAGAAAGACACATTGAGTAGTTGCCACCCACACGACCCCAACCGGGGCTGGGGACTAACTGCAACCGAGGTATGTGCCCTTAGCGGGAACCGAACTGGGTCTCTCTGGTCCGAGGGCCGACGCTCTAACCACTGAGCAAAACTGGCTAGGGTGATAATTAGGATTTTTATAATAGAATTTCTCTTTGTAGTTTATTAGTAGACTTTGTTATGCAATAAAAAGAAATGATCAGTCTTCAAAATCCATTTATTCAAAATTAATTTAACATGTACAAGTGGTAAAGATTTAGAACTAAAATTTTTAGAATTAATCTCACAAATTTATTTAAACATTTTCTTCTTTTTAATCTAGAGATTAAATGGTATAACTTTAATTTTTTCTGAATCATTAAGTTAAAAACCAAATTACTATTTTTTGTAACTACTGTAGTAATGCAAATAGTGAAGTAAAAGATAACTCAAACTTTGTTCGACGTAGGAAAAATGGAAGACTGTGGGACTAATTTGTGATAGACAAGCAAATGCCTTGTAATGAGTTGATAATCATATGAAAGTAAGCTCCTTTTGAGGGCTGGGACTTTTGCCTTTTTAACTACTGTGTTCCCCAGTGCCTAGAATAGTGCCTGCCACCTGGCAGGCACTCAGTAAATAATGACTGAATGAATTAGTGTAAAGCTGCTAATGTCTTTGAATAAAATATATGGAAATGCTTATTGTGATTATAAAAACTTTGAAATTTAAAAGATTACAACTATGTCGCATTTTATTTCTAAACAAAAGTATAAACCATTTAATAAACAAACAAAAAACATGTCAAGGAAAATGATACAGTAGGGCAAAATTTAAAGCTAGAGAGATGTAAGATAGAACTTTCTTTGTTTTGATTTGTAGTAGGTAGGGATGATCTTTTACCTCCATAGTGTTGTTCTAAAAGGATTAAACGAAGTAATTAATTTAGAGCAATTAGCATTTAGTAGATACTCAGTACAAAGTAGCTACTGATTTATACCTTCATATACTTATCTTTTAATATAAAACACACATATGCAGACGGACCCTACTTTAAGAAAAAACTGAATATGCAAGGTAAATTATTTCAGGAATTAAAAAAAAGCCACTTAGGCATTTATGAAAATCTAAGTTATACTCAGTTTTTTATAACACAGCTATTGAAGTAAGCGAGATCTATTTGTATAATGCTTCTTGGAGGAAACTGTAGACAGATTTATTCTTCCTGAATTCTGGTCTGTAGAATCTCCTGTTTTTCATTCATTCAGAAATTATATTGAAAACTTGTTACCTCCAGGGCTCTGTGTCAGGTACTGAATGGATCAGGAATGCTTAAGACAGAATCCCCAGCTTTAAGTTTTTTGGGTAATCCAGGGTTTAGCAGATGTCTTCTGTAGGGGTTAGATAATACATATTTTAGGTTTTGTGGGCTGTGTGGTCTCTGTCTCAGCTGTTGAGCACAGCCATTGTAACACAAAAGCAGCTCTGTCCTGCTGCTCTTACATAAACATATGAGCATGACTGTGTTCCAATAAAATTTTATTTACAAAAACAGGTAGCAGGCCAGATTGGGCCCTTGGGTGATAGTTTGCCAACCTATAATCGAAAACATTCTCCTTAAAAGACCATCTTTACATCTCAAATGTTCTTTCTTTTCAAGAAAGTGTAAAAGTGAGCTTGAGAGAGAGACAGACAGACATCAACTGATGGGCTGGGAATTGAACCTGCGACCCTTCGGTCCCCAGGCTGACACTAACTGCTAAGCCAAAGTGGCCAGGGCAAAGACATTTGTTTTAACATTTACTTTAGTAAATTAAAAAGTTGAAATAAGTGAAATAAGTTTTTTTTCCCCATTGGTTATAAGTTATTGCTAACCCCCTGGTGTTTTGACAAGATTTAAAAAATTTAAGTAATTTACTAAATATATAAATTTAAGAGATAAATTAAGCCTTTTTCCTTCGTCATTAAATCATGTCCCATGCCTTTGTTATAACAGAGTGCTTGATTTATATATGTTCAGGCAGCTTCTATATTCACTGCTCTAATGGTTTTATACAGAATAGTGTAATTACCCCAGGTAGTTAGTAGCTTACTTGGATCCTTTGATATGTATCTCATTAATCATGTTTGTAGGAGATATTTATTCTAATGACTGGAGCTGAATGTTCAGACAGGAGTAGTGTGGATAAGGTAATGATACACTAGACTAGAAAAGTCTTACATACTGAGAGGAATATTAAAGAGGTTTCAGATGTCTCTGGAATAATTTTCAGTGGAGTATAAAAACCAAACTATGTTTTATGCTATTTAGGAACAGAATGAGTAAATCAAATTATGATCAGTTAAGTACTGTGTATATTTATTTTAATTTAGATTTTTCACTTAGTTGTTTTTCAATTCCACATGAGGGAAGAGATCAGAGCAAATATAAATTTCTGTTTAGCTCTATTTTTCTTTTGGTTGCAAAGCAAGTAGTTCCTTATGATATATAACATAAGAACTTTGACTGAATATCGGTATTATATAAGAACTTATTTCCTATCTTATTTACTGGTAAATATTAATTATAGCCACATAACATCATATCTAATATTTAGAAACACTACTGTATAAAGTTTTCCCTGGAAAAAATACTTAGTTTTTATACTGTTCTAGGGAGACTTAGAGTTTTTGTGGAGTCATCTGAGGGGCCAGAATCCAGAAAATAAAATACTTGCTTCAATTATGCAAGTAGACTGTAGCAAAGTCAGCAGCACAATTCAGTGGTACTTTAAGAACTGGTTATTTGCTCACATGTTCTAGTCCATTATGTGTGATTATGGAAATGACAGTACTAGGTTGGGTAAAATGAGAGAACAAATCCATTCTTCTTTGTGGATCAGTGAAAAATTGTTTGAAAGAACAGTAATTGATTTTTCTTTTTAAAGAATGCTTGCTTTCTACAAAAGAATATTGAAAATAGTCATGTCAGGGACAAATGTGAAATAAAATGAAACTTTTGGAATATTTCTTTTGATGTTTTCTTCTTATGAATACTGACTGTTTTATAAAAATAAAATATTTTTCACATC